GATAATTTCTGAAACGGCTGGACTGATTTTGACGGGACTTTCACTGGAAGATAGCTGATGAGTAACATAGGCTACTTTTATTTTAGAAAAAGAATTAGGATCTGCCCAAAGAAATTGAAACGTACCGCTAGTAATATTATAAAATAAATAAAATTTATTTAAAATTCAAATAATAAAAACGAACGATGATTTTAATTTTTTTAAAGCTCGAGTTAAGTAGATTTACAGTAGCTTAGGCATTGAGTATAATTTTTTTTTATCGCATGTCGTGGGCTAGATTTTAACTTGGATTTAATGTTTTTGTTAAGTAAATTCAGCCCATTACATATTATATTATGTACGTTGCATAAAACATACGTTGCATAAGACACAGCTATTCCGTCGACTATAAATAACATGTTTACATTTCGCAAGTCGAGAAATGCTTAAGTGGTAGTGCACTTTGCCTGACGGTCAAATTTTATTGCATACTAGCGACTCACCCTCGTTTCGCTCGGGTTCGTCTCTAGGTTCATTCCCCTTACAAACTTTCCTATGTCCTTCCCAGGGTCTCAAACTATCTTCTTACCAAATTTCATCTAAATCGGTTCAGTAGCTTCGGACTCTATTCAGTACAAACAATCAAAAAAGCAAATATTTCCTCTTCATAATATTTTAATAGATTTATGAAAACCTAAGCGTAAATCGTAATTTTTTTTGTCTCTACATTTTGTTCGCTACAGAACAGTCTTATATATCTGAAGAGAACGGCAGTGCCGCCGTCAAATCATCACACGCTACTTAAATTTTATTTGTTTATCTTATATGTATAACTTGGACATGGGACAAACATAATCACATAAGAATAATCAACTATAATATTAAATAGTACTAATAGGTACCTACTGAATAAATTAAGCGACTTGATTTTACATTAGTTCTCACAACTTATCAATCGAATTCAAAAAAAGGAGGAGGTTCTCAGTTCGGTTGTATGTTTTTGTTTGATACCTCAGAACTCCGTCATTTATTACCCATTTTGGAAAATTATTTTTTTGTGTGAAAGTGTATATATACTTCTTGTGTCTACTTTAATCCTATTTACAATACAGAATGTAAGGGTGGAAAAATAGCTAATGAAAATTTCACCTCCGTCTAATTGTCATAGTGACTGGAAACTTTGCAAGTGTTTTTATTTCCGTCGATAGTGCAGTGTTTTGGTATTGTCGAGCTGATGTGATGAAAGTATGGACCCCTTCACGCTTTAATATAGGAACTTTTTACATTATTGTAACTTGTCATTAGCCTTTTATATATTTTACATTTTTATTTATTCTCTTAATAAATTTGTTTTCCTAAAATTATATGCCTTTTATGCATGTTATGGACCTTTTCATGTGCCGTATAATGTTGTTTTTTGTGTGATCGTAACAGTATTTAAAAGAAAGGAATAATAAAAACCAGGCCGTGTATAATATCAAATTGTTAACGACATGTCGTAGGTTTTCATTTCAGCGTACTTAAATAAATACTGTTAAAAATATGCCTAGTAGCTCATTAATGTCAATTGAGAAGCTCAATAGCAGAGATAATTGGGCAGGTTGTAAGATTTGTATGACTGCATACTGAAGGAGCCATTATCTGCCATACTGAGCCATACTGATTTCAAATCAGTGAAGTATTACAACAAGAGGCAACAAATGCAAAACAAGTATGGGATCGTTTATCAAAGGTATTCGAAGATAGTGGATTATGTCGCAAAGTTTGATTACTAAAAGATCTTATCAACACCAATTTAAAAAACCTTTTATCAGTTGAAGAATATGTGAACAAAATAATGTCCGCGGCACACAAGTTTAAACATAAAAAAATTAGTGTATCTACAAAGACTGTGTGTAGACGAGTGGCTAGGTACTACGACGAGGCCGAATCAAATCAAAGCAAAGCTTACATCACAAATTGGTGTATAATATTTTAAACTAAGTAGAATTATTAAAGTTCATACCTTGTCATAATGACCTATTAGATATTCATATCTTAAAGCATTTGTCGACTGGCACCGACTTCCAAATTATCTGATTACGTATCTATAGTAAATGAAAACTCCCATTCAGTTAATTTTACTTTTTAGTGTCTCGAAGTAGATTTTTTTATTGAGGTAATAGTTATAATAAGTTTTTATTAAAGCTAGAAGAACTGCATTGCGAGACTTGCATTTTTTTACATGTTATGTTTTTGATGAATAAATAAACAACACGATTAAAACTGCGGAAATAGCTATAAATACGTATGTACATACGTATAAGTACGTATTTAAAAGAATATTTACATTTTAATTTAAAATAGGAGTAATGTTAGGTCCTTACAAATGAAATTGGAGTTTTATATGGGAAAAGCAAAACTATTTTTTTTTAGTTATGAAATTATAAATATATATGTAATCAATTAAAGTACCATTATTATCTATGCACTTTCGCTATTTTATAGATTATAGAAGCAAAAATTGAGGGAGCAAGAATCAATAAAATCTCTGAAGGCGGTTTTGACTGCCTCATCGGAGTTGCATTTTTTTCCTTGCAAGAAATTGTCCAAATTCTGGAAAAAGTGGTAATCTGTTGGAGCAAGGTTCGGGGAGTATGGTGGGTGTTGGAAATATTCCAATTGCAGCTTCTCTGATTTAGCGTCCGTCTATTGTGCAATGTGTTGTCTAGCGGTGTCAGTGGGCTAGAGCAATTGACCAGTCTCGGTTGTTTAATGGGGAGCTTTTCTATCATGGTTTACAATTGAAGACAATACAGATTAGCCGTAATCGTTTGTAATCTTAGGAAGCTGTTGTGGATGACACCAGCACTGGTCCTGGGTCCACCACCACCTGACACTTACGAGTACCATTTACAACTCAACTTTCGCTTGAGGCAGGTTTAGACCGGTTCCTAGGTTCAACCATTGTGATGAACGTTTCCGATTATACACAGAACAGGATCCATTTTTCATCACAAGTAACGATACGATTCAAAATCCCCTCGTTATTGTGATGTTTGAAATGTAACGCAGCACTGAACGCGCGTTTGTTGGTGTGCTTCATTTAATTCATGCGGTGTCAATTTTCGAGCTTTTCGCTTTTCTCCAATTTGTTTCACGTGAATTAAAATTATTTTATTACTCACACCGAAGCCTGTTGCTAACTTCGACGTAGTTAGCGGTGATCCGCTTCCACTATCACTTTTATTTCATTTCACTTTTCATTGTCAACGTGTCTCTGACCGTCCACGAGGTTTGTCTTATAGATCAAAATTTCCAGAGCGAAATCGCTAGAACCAAAAACGTACCGTCTTTCTTTTACCAGTAGCTTTCTTATACACATTATTATTCCTTCGAGCTGTTTCACGGTTGAACTCGTTTTCGTAAATAACGCGATATTTTAAGTTTTCCATATTGTGAACAGAACGATGACAAAGAAAAATCAAATGGCGCGAAAACAAATAAATCACTAAATGGCTGAAACACAAATACATAAGCCTAGATTGGAAATAAATATGAATTTGAAATACCTAACCAAACGCCAAATATTCAAGACCAAAGTGGCCAATTCGATAAAACGCCAATTTCATATGTAAGGAACTAATAATTAATTAAAAACACAATCTTAAGTATTTAACATAACCTAATATGTATATAATATTTTCTTGACAATCTTATAATAGCTACATCTATAAAGAATATAAAATTCCATACAATTGTTACGAAAAGTCACTATTAATGGTTAGGTCGCGAATGATTGGCTTGTAATTAGTAGAGGTGGGGCTTTTCCATTAAATATACTCGTAGTTAGCTCTTAAGACCGGATTTCACTTCTCAGAATTGAGCAGAATATGAGATAGGCATACGTAAAAATTATAAAGGTCTGATATAAATATTAATAATTATATGTATGTATATGAAATATAAAGTACCATAATTTGTAAATAAATGTTACAGCCAAGTAGAGCAAAAAAGGCATAGCCAGTTTCTCGAAACCAATCCTGAATGGTTTCTAGCTTTATCCTCAACGAAGTTACAGGGGCATTTGGTCAAAATGTCAGGATTTTTAGTGGTTAATAAGACATATATAACTAGTTATATTTCCAAATTACATTCAATTTGAATTTGCAGTTTAAGAATTATTGCAGGTGAAAGCTCTTTAATTTTGTCACTGATTCACTCACGGATCATTAAAATTCTAAGATACTTCTAACAGAAACATGAGCTTCAAATTTTGAACACAATTAGTGTTTAGCCTATAAAGAAAGGAAAAACTAAAATACCCCACAATTCCAGTCTCGTTTTCAGGTATTCAACAACCTGCAAGTACTACCTACTAAATAAATTACTATGTAATCATATACGAATAGATATGCGATATATGCGTTTACAAAATTACTTTTGCAGTTCATATAATTTTTCGTCACTTAAAGTACCCAAATAGATGATGTCTCTTTTAATAATATACCTATACTATATACGCACAAAAAGTAGTACCAGAAAAAAAGGGGAACTATTTACAAAAAAAAATGAGATCCCAACAAGAAGTCTCAAATTTATTCGTACACAAACATGAATAATGCGCTCAGAACGATCTTAATAGGTAAATTTTGTTATTTGTAAATTCTATAGCTGATAACCAACTATAAAAAATGAAAGACCGAAAATTAATAAAGCCTAAAAACTAAAGTATAATGTGTTTAGCCCTTTTAACGTCTCACTGCTGGGCACGGGCCTCCCTACAATACGAGGAGTATAATATTTATGTGAAATTTCTTTTCATATACATTAGTTTACCAATGTTTAGCATTAGGTAAGTTGCGAGACATTTTACAAATAGGCACATTAAATGCCTGGTTATGGCTTCATCAGTCTTTTAATAATGAAATAACAGACATGATATTCTAAATGATTAATTTAAGCAATATGTGCGTATATATATGTATATCAGGTTGATAAATAGAAATTACTTGTTAAAATAAACAATGAAAATATCTTACTTGCCAAAGAAGGTTTTATTTCATAGCTAATGTCGTGAAAAACTACGTAGTATCCATCTTCTGTGCATATATCGTCACTTCCAAGTTCCACGTCCATTTAGTCGTGTTAGTTTTTGTACTAACTTGTTTCTTGTGATGAACGGATATTCTTATCCCGCTACGCAAGACGCACGGAAATAAGTAGTTGACTTGGTTAATGTGCCCGTTCCATTAGACCTCCGTATACAGACTACAGTACATACTATCAGGATTACAGATTATTATTGATATTCGTATCATATCTTTTACACTAGGTATTAAAAATTGTAACATATACATATCAACATAGATATTCAAATTAGGTACCTACTGTCAGCGTTAGAAGCTGTTTGACTGGTAAAAATCCCTTCAACACGAGGACCATAATATAATATATTTATGTATATGTGAAACTTCTTTTTATATGCATTAGTTTTAAAACGTTTAGCATTAGGTAAGCCGCGCGACATTTCACAAATAGGTACGTTAAATGCCTGGTAATGAATATATAAATAAATACTATAATATAAATTATAGTCTTTTAATAATGAAATAACTTACATGATATTCTAAAACAAAATGATTAATTCACCTAATATGTGAGTATATAAAAGGTTGATAAATAATAAAAACGAATGGCTATAAATGTGTTGTTAAGCGCAAAACTCGAGAAAGGTTGGACCAATTCTGCTAAAACCTAGGGAAGAACAAGAGCAAATCGTGACCATGATTGCTGAAAGCATTCGAAAAGATCTGAACGGATAATCAAAACAAAACCGCGAAATAAATATTTAAATCATCTACTGTATGATATAACCGGTCTCGGTCATCCACATACCTACAGTGGATTCGCATTACAAGCCTTCACTAGGTTATTTCCTCACCTCGTTGGAGGTCTAACCACGTTTTCAAGTTCACGTCCCCCACTGGTATCAGTCGACCATCCGTTCAACGAGGTAGCTGTATATCCGGTCTGATTCAGCTTGGATTGGAGAGGAGGAGGAGATTGGATTGACCGGTTTCTTTGGTAATGTTCGTATTTCTGTCTCTCATTGTGTTTTATTGTATTTTGCAAAGAAACTTGATCTTTTGAGTGATCTTGTTATATTTTGCAGCTACATCTCAGTTCTATAAGCCTCATGGGCAAAATACACCTACTGGTTGAAAATTTAAAATTGAATTTTTATGTACAATAGTACTCCTGCGTATTATTTTCGGCAACCGTTTGATAAGTATATTTTTCTAATTTAACTATTTGGTTTTTGTATTATTAAAAAAAATGATTTTTATTATCTTATCAGTCAGTCAAGTAGATCGAGTTTTAATATTATTTATTTATTTGTAAAAAGCACACTTACTACATATATATGAAACATTTTCAATTTAATTAATGTAATAATAATATACCTTATATGAATTAAAAGTACAAAAATTTAAAAATAATACTAATTATAGATAAATGTCATATTACAAAAGAAATTGATAATAATACACAATAATAAAAAGTAAAATTAAAATCATCATTATAAACAAAAAAATATATATAATAATTAAGATTAACAGTCATGCATTTTATGATAATTAAATAACTTATTTCTAAAAATTGATGGAGAGTCATAAAAAACGTCAATGCCAGGAATTGATTTAAGGATATCATTGTATTTGTTACACAACCGTCCCAAGACAGCTTGTTTACCGATATTAGATCTGACGCAAGGAGTATGAAATATCTTGTAGACGTGAGTGCTTCTGTGTGTCCTAGAAGGAACTGATATCAGTATTCTCTCGGTTAATTCTGCATTAGTTATATTATTGTTGACAATACCGTGTAGAAAGCTTAGTTCTAAAATCTCGCGCCTACTCCGAAGAGGAATCATATTAAACTTTGCCAAACGTTCTTTGTATAGTTTTCTGTGTGAGAAATCCTTTTCATGAAACGCAAGATGTTTCGTAAAAGCACGCTGAATACTTTCTATACGTTGGGAGTCTCTCTGTACGCTATACAGTGGATTCCAGATAACACTAGCATACTCTAGACCGCTTCGCACTATGAAATTATATAGAATTAATTTAGTTTTTTGTGAAAATCCTAGTGTATTCCGCTTGATATAACCAAGATTTTGAGCAGCTTTAACAACTATATTATCAATATGTGTTGTAAACGCCAAACGCCCGTCAATAGTGACTCCTAAGTCTTTAATTTGTGAAACTTATTGTAATAACACACTTCCAATTGAGTAACTAGAGACAAGCGGTTTTTTCTTTCTGGTAAATTTTATATGGAAACATTTGCGCACTTTAAGAGTCATATTGTTGAGGTTACACCATTCAACAATAGCATTTAGGTCGTGTTGTATTGAGTGTACGTCCGAATTCGATTGAACTGTTTTGTACAATTTGAGGTCGTCTGCAAATAATGAACACTTACAATGCTTGATATTGTCGGAGATGTCGTTAATGAAAACGAGAAAAAGTAGAGGGCCTAAAAATGAGCCCTGTGGAACTCCACTCTTAGCAAAATATGTCTCTGATTCAAAACCAGTTACGGAAACTGTGAGCGGTCTTTGTATTAAATATGACTGAAACCATCTAATTAGAGTAGTAATAATATAATCATACAATCTAATAATATTTTCTTAGATTTACGCGAATATTTGACATTTTAAATAAGACTATCTTTTCGGATTTTGTCGCGGATTTATTTGCATTTTTGTTTCCCGACGTTTCGAATGCTTTACAGCATCCATGGTCTCGGGAGAGACTGAGGTGTTACATCTCTTGGATGTATAGTTGTTACAGACAGCCTACTTACAATTAACAAAATGAAAATTGCACCAATGACATTACAATATTTTTTAACTTTAAACATTTTTATAATTTTAATTATAATTGAATATGGAATATTATTTATTTAATTTTTGCTATTATTTTTATAATTATTACAATTTTAAAATATTAATTAGTAATCTATATTTAGTGTTGCCATTATTATATTTATAACCATAAAGAAAAATATAAAATATAGTGTTAATTATTTAAGCCATATAATTGTTCTATGTGTAATTTAAAAAGTTAAAGTTAATTAAGGATAATTATTTTAATTTAGTTTGCTATTATTTAAAAACAACTTACTAAGCAACACTATTACTATATACTTTTACAAATGAGAAATGAAAAATATTAATCTGATATGCTGTCATTTTGATCTACACAGTAAGAACTTACTACATCTACCTGTCTGTTATGTTTATATTTATTATTTGATTTTATTATATTAATAACAGGATCCCATGACGATGGTAGTACCCAGCCATCTTCCCTGTTGAAATTAGGATGTTTTTTAATTTCTATGGCTTCTCGAATCATTCTAGGGCGCATTATTTTAATGATTTATATTTTCATCTTTTTATTATAATGAAAGATATTATTTTGGTGACTTTTATTTATTTTAGTTTATGTTATACAAAATAAACTCTCTCGCCCTCCTAGGGGGCGTGCCCCCCTGGTTGGGAACTCCTGCTTTAAAGATTCTATTTTTAAGGTAGTCAAAAAAAGTAAAGAAATTTAATTATTATTTATTATTAAGACCATACCATTATAAAGAATATTTTTTTATTTAAAATAATGAATTTAGTTATATAATCTCAATATATTAAAGTATAATAAATACAATATTAAATTCATAACGCTATTCGCAGGCGAAAATCTAAAACTCTAAATCACAGATAAATGTATTTAATTAGTGCCGGTTCTGCATCACCGTATCGGAATGTAATAAATTGATATATTTTTAAACATGTCATGATAAGAGCGTTATATCCATACTTACATATATTATAAATGTGAAAGTGTGTTTGTTTGTTTGTCTTTCTTTTACATCGAAACAGAGTGACGGATTCACGTGATTTTTTGTGTGGAGATAGTTGGAAGGCTGGAGAGTGACATAGGCTACTTTTTACCGTGGGAGATCATCTCATTCCCACGGGAAAACACGTTATAATTCAACGCAAAAAAAATATTTACGGTCAGAATTACTTGAAACTTGGTGTTAATACCCTTCAATACAATTAAATAAATACGTGTTTTAGCATTTTTCGAAATTCATACTATAAGAAGGTGAAATAGGGAATGAAAGTTTGTATGAAAGTACCTTTTTAAAGATTTTTCGTAGTTTCAGCGCGAGCGGAGCCGCGGGTTCTGCACTAGCAGACTAATTATATAACGGCGATGACTTCGACAGATAAAACTATGACTTGTTAGCTCAAAAAGATGATGATGCGAATTAGCTCCAGTCTTATTCTGCGACCAAAACTTAAGTGTTATGAGCATTTAAAAGAAAGTAGCCTCAAAGGGTCTTAATCTTGATGAATAATATCATTTGATAGTACATGGATCGTACGAGTATGAAATATTTTTATTACATTTTTTTTCTTTTAATAATATGACCGCGGTATATATTTATTTTTAAATAAAATATAAAAAAAATATGGCGTCCCATAACTATACCCATATTTATGTATTACTAGCATTGCCCGCGGCTCCGCCCGCGTTCAGATGACTAAAAACCGAATTCTTAGGTTTTACATATTAGTATACTCTTACAATGCAGTTTTTGTATTTTTTCTCAGAAATAATATATTTTCCCGCGGTAAAAAGTATTCTACATGTTGACCCGGATAACCAGCTATCATCATACGAAATTTCATCAAAATCCCTCCAGTGGTTTGTCTGTGATGGGGTAACAGATAGACAGATACAGACAAAAATCCAAAAAACTATAGATTCGGCCTCTGTGTCGTTAATAATGTCTATTTCATTAAGATTTTCCAAAAAACATGTAATGTACAGATTCGGCTTGGTTACAATTTATTATATGTATAGATAATGATTAAATATACTGTCATCCAATTTCCATATTCCACAAAACATTACCCATTTTCACCCTTGAAGTTCGACTAGCCTTTACTCAGACGTTAGATCCTTACATAAAACACAACAGTTAGCCACAATAGTACCAACAATACAATATTTAATATTTATTATATTAATGACAAATCATAAGTGATACATATTACATATCGTAATAATCACTTACATATATACAATAATCATAATAATCACTGGACTGGACTTTAGTAAAACTGAATAGTTACATGTAATCATAATACAGCTTAAAAATATAATTAATATTATTAAACAAAACTAAAAAAATATAAAAATAACACAAATGTAACACCTTTTACTTTTATTGAAAATATTTTCGTGTTAATCACTTTGGTTCAATCTTAAACTAAAGTAAGGAATGTCCTTCACCTAGCGTTTCTAAATAATATGAAGTTATTTACATTTTATTTACACATAAGATGTACAAAGTACTTACGTATTTACTTAATTGAGCTTTATTCGATATTATTATTATTATATCTATACCTTGGATTGACACTTGGAATGAATCTAGGTATGTTACAAAGTTTGTTCATAAATTAAAACAAGTGCCTTTTTGTTCACCGTCGTTAGGTACTTCGATGGGAAATATAGAAGCATTCTGCATATTATCTTTTAAATATATTTCACTTTTTTTTTCAATGTTTATATTGGTTGTAGGCGTAGCCACATTTCTTAATTATTTAACTTTTGTTTAATTATAATTCTAGAGTTTCAACAGAAGGGGCCATCCATAAATTACGTCACACGAATTTAATGATTTTTAGAAGCCTTCCCCCCTCCTCGTCATAGGTGGTCACCTTTAAGACGCGAGGCGAGAATTCGCCAACAAAACAATATAAACCGTATATAGCGTAAATAAAGCATATATTTTTTTAATGTTTCGTTTACAATTTTGTATTTTAATACTTTAGATTTTGACATGTGGCGTCACGAAGCTTATGACTCCCCCCTGCCCCTTATTACACAATGTCACACTTCGTTGACCCCCCCTCTCCCCTCCTTAACGTGTGACGTAATTTATGGATGGCTTCGAACAAACGACATCATAAATTTCTATAACACTATAGGCAAAGCTTTTTGGTATATTTATCTTAAAAATCTTATATTCTGAGATTCAAGTTAGAACTAAATATTTTATTAACATTTCTATTTTTCATTTGTTCACAAAATGAAACCTGTTTAGAAAGTGAAAATATATTTTAAATTTGTACTATATGTTTTTATGAAGCTTCACAGGCATATTAATTGATCTGTTGTCCATCAAAGTATGCTTCCAGTGACTGCTCTGCATAATTTATAATCTTTTTATTATTGAAACAATATATTATATTCGCACAGTATTTTGAATAAAGACAGATATATTGTTGTTACATTTATTAGGTAAAATTAACTAACCCATATTAAATATTTTGGTATTTTAATCAATTATTTTAAAACTAATTGTGATTTAATGTAGCAAGAGCGATTAAGAGTAAACAACGCACTTAAGCTTTGCTATGGAACTAGTCACAGCCACATGCATTATTTTCCTATAAGGTATTAAAAACAAGAACTACCACTTATTCTTTAGTCTTATTTTCAGTACTACGTATGCAAATAAAATGAACACAAAACCGATACCTAATAGAGACATGATAGCATTTGAAAATTTTTCACCCGACATTCCACTTTCTTTTAGAAATTGGGCGGGATGTGCGTAATGGCAGTACAAGCTTGAACACATAAGCTTTGGTCGGTCTAGACCAAATATTGATATCACCAATCCGGCTAAGCCATGCTTAAGAAACGATAGTTGAAAGAGCCATCGCATGAATATAGGGGCGTCACTGTATCGTAGAAAGAAGCCGGAGAATATAGTGAACGGCATTATGAAGAACGGCCCGAAGATGACTCCGTTCTGTAAAACCAATAGAAAATATTTATGTTATTTAATTGAGAAAGAGATATTTCAATAGCCTGCAAATAAGTATACATAATATGTATATAGTAATTCCAATAACGTTTATTTATAGGTACATATAAAATCACAATATCCTGATTAATTTACGAATGTCTAGGCAAAGCTGCTAGTTGGTGGGGGGGGGGGGCTCAGTAGTGCCCGGCAATACAGCCGGGCGCGAAGCCAAGAAACGCACAGGGAGGTGGCCAACTTCGGTGGGCGGTGGGAGGTGGCCCTCTTTGGAGGACGATGTACCATGCGGGTTGCTCCTGGTACTTCTCTGATAGCAGAGTGGAGTTTTGATGAAATTTGGTATGATGATAGCTGGTTATCCGGGTTAATATATAGGGTACTTATTACTGTGGACAAATATCTTATCTCTGCGAAATCTATACTAAAAGTTAAAACGTAACGACATACAAACAAACATACAAAAAAAAATTTAAGGTCTATATTGTATACATAATACATTAGTTATTATTTTTAAAAAATATTTCATGTACAGATTTCGCTTAGATACTGCTTTATTCTTTATAGTATAGATAACTATTTAGTATATTGTCATAGTCGTCATTAATCCAAGTACTAGCTAATTTTTATAAGATATTTGTGTAAATCTTTTTACTTTTACTACAATTTAATATTTTAAAAAAAGGGTTTATTTCTTACCTTTACATTGAACATAGATCCATTAAACAGACCTATGCACAGCGCAACAAATGTCGTTAGCAAAAGTGTACAACAGTATATAAGAAAGCGAATAATATCTATTGGCTGGCCGGTCAGTAGATACGTTATACACGCGAATGTGAGCGTGCTAACAGTCTGCGTCGGCAGGGAAGAAACCAATGTGGCAGCGTAGTACGAGGCAGTGTTGTACCATCGGTTGAAGTGCTCTCTTCTTATTACCGCGATTTGCTCTGGAACTACATAAAAAAATACTGGCACTGTTGTCAGGTAATCCAAAAAAAGATCCTGCCCGAATATTTAGGGCAAATAAATTTTTGTTTTAATTTTTAATGAAGCGTGATATAATGTCTTTTAAATGTGCATTTTGCACATTTAAAAGAATATGAAATTATTAAAAGTCTTTAGGTTATCAATTTCCAACCGAAACATTCATGTACGAAGTGTTTATTATCAAAACAAAAAAATATTCTGATAATTATACGCTGTTACAATACTAAAGTTCATGTGATAAGAATTAAGTAATTTGAGTAAATTGTGTGATCGAAAATTCCAAATAATTTTTATTGTGTAAAATATATGCAAATTAAATCTATACTCACAACTAATAGATACCATGCTGAATGCAGTGAACATGAGAAACATAAGACTGAAATAGAGAAAGTTGTAGTTGTCTCTCACATATGTTGCATCCTCCCCGATATTGTAGAAAAGAAATCCCACGAACAAAGCCATAGCGCAATGGATACCAAATATCATTAGCGTGAAGGATGGATTGCGCCAGATTGCCTAAACAAAATAAACATTAAAAAACAATTACGTAGCTTGTTTCAAAGTCATTCAAAACGATTTTATGATGTTTTAACATGTCGTACATTAAAATCAGATGTTTATATAATCCATTGATAAGGACCTTTCTGTAACAAAATAGCTGTTGTAAAGCTTTATACCACGAGTTCATTCAAAAATTAGATTAATGTTCTTATAAAGAATAACATTGTTCTTTTATATTTATAACAAACTTATTTAAAATACAGTAAGAATTTAAAAGACAGAAGGGTATCGGGCTACTATTATAAATGCGTAAGTGTGTATGTTTGTTACTCCTTTTCTCCTCCAAACGGCTGGACGGATATGTATTTGAAGTTCCCGTATAAGTGAGTCACTAGTTTTAAAGTATTATACATAATTTTCAGAAATGATAGATGCTAGTTAGTGTACTTACTTACCAATAAAGCTCTCTGCGTTAAAATAGAGAATTGCTTCCATGACGATGAGGGGTATGTACTTTTAAGGGCTACCAATATTTTTCTAGTTGGGTTTTCTTTAGGTGTAGGCAGTGTTGTTAAGTACACATCTTCACTTATACTTCTTTTGTATTCTGGAATAAATGTTTTTTTTTATTAATATACCTGTATAACTGCCATATTTTGTTAATATATTAATATACGAATTCACTTATAATTTAACATAAGATTTCATTTCCAAAGCTAATAAATGTTTATAATAAACTATTTTTATTCACGTACCTATTAATTTTTTATCAATTTCATTAAAATTGTTCTGTATCCACTGATCACTTTTTCCATTCTGTGAACATTGTACTAGTTTATTTTCGTTTTCTGCGCATATTTCTATAACTGAAATAAAATTATTCATAACAATATTTGTAACTCTTTTCTTCATATTTATAATTTGAAGGAGATTTGAACTTCGGATGCTTTAAAAGTAAACCTTATTATTTTGTATAGTCACGATAGAATGAATGAATCGTAATGTATACATAATATTAGTAAAAAAAACAGGTCACCATTGTTCAAAATTTATCTTAAAAACTGTTGTGTAATGAGATTTTGATTAGTTCAGTTAAATAAACCACAATTGCATCAAAATAGTTCCATTTATGTCCCCGACTTCAAGTTAATAAAAAAATAATGAAAATTACTATCATAAGTACTTCTTCAATTTTAACTTTTAATGTAGCAGATAATAAAAATACACTAATAAGTAATACATTAAGAAAATCCTATTTATTTTGTATTAGCAGAACCCGCGGTTTCGCTCGCGATCAAACTACGAAAAAAACTTTTTCACATTACATAATTTTTTGTTTAAAGAAATAAGTTCGTATTTCATATTATTTCTTAAAGATACCTATATGGAAAACAAATTTAGTTTTAGTCGGTTTAACTCAAAATATCCAGTATCTTTAACGATTTTAAACATACTTGTATATTCTGTAAATAAATTTTCATTTTAGGTATTTAGCAAGCTTCACTACCTCTATTTTTTGCACATTTTTTTACTCCATATTTTTTAATTTAGAAGAAGAGCGTACAATGATACAACTCGCTTACAATGTTTACGAATTTAGAATCATGTAACTCGGCTATTATGGGCTTATTAACTAACATACAACATATCTAAGTTATTTTTAAAAACCCAGTGCTATTTACTCCTGAGGCTTACAGTCTCCCTTCCTTCCTTCTCCTTCACCTTCCTTCCATTTCCTTCTATTTTAAGTTATTACATATATAGTGTCATTCTTATTTTTCTATAGGAAACTTTTTGCCCGCGGCTACGCTCTAGACTAAAAAATTTGCTCAGTTTTTATTTCCATTAAATTCATATCAAATTTTTAATATTATGTGTTCATTTATGTAATGACTCTAAATTCACTTAACTTAGTCTACGCTATAAAAACAATCATAAATATATCGTAAAAATATATTAGTGGATATTCTGTTAAAAAAAAGGTAAAATGTCCCTGTGATAAGCAACCCTCGTGAGATATATTAATTGTCATTGCAATGCAAATTTTAGGAGGAATTACAATAGATTAAATTCAAAGGCTTAGTCAGAGGCTATTATGGTACTCGAGGTATGAATACTGATTCCCCTCGAGCGCACCCAGCAAACACAGTGGCTACTATAATGTTTTGAATTACTCGTAGTCTAATCCCGTTACACACATTAATACCACGTTTCAAGTAATTCTGATCATAAATATTTTTATCCCCATATAAACAGCACAACCTCCTTTTAACCTTTTAAGGGATGTATTTAAAAAAAAATATGTTAATTGTATTGTTTTATATATATATATATATATATATATATATATATATATATATATATATATATATATATATATTTATTTATTTATTTATTAATACAGTTTCATACAAAATTTCATCACCCATTTTATCCTCTCATGGGATGAATTTCGAAAAATGCTAAAACATGTATTTATTTAAATGTGTTAAAGAGCATTCACACCAAGTTTAAGTAATTCGGATTATAAATAATTTTTTGCTCATATAAACTTTATCACCCCCTTTTAGCCCTTTAAGGGATGAATTTCAAAAATTATCTAATAAAAATATTTCTTATTTTTTATTTTAAAACTAAATATAACTTTGTGTATTTCACATTAAAAATAATAGAGTTTCAAACTATCTTTTATCCTCTATTTTACCCATTTAGGGTCTGAATTTCGAAAAAACCTTTCTTATCGGATGCCTACATCATATAAGGAACTAGCAAAACCCGCGTCTTTCTCGTGCTAAAACTGCAAAAAACTCTTTGGCTTTATGCTATTAGTAGTAACTAATAATGTATGGAAGTCGGCCCGGTTTGTTGACATTTATGATTACTGCTCCGCTCTCTTGCGTAGTAGAATCATATATCATCATATAGCCTATAACCTTCCTCAATAAACCAGCTAAGTAATGCAAAAAAAAATTTCTGATCAATCGGATTAGTATTTCGTGAGATTAGCGCGATTCAACAAACTCTGCAATTATATAATATTTGTATAGAAGTATAGATACGTCCCCTAAGTTTCACGTTTCTACGACCAGTGGTTTATGCTGTGTGTTGATCAGTCAGTCAGTCAGGATGAAGCATTTTATGTATATACATATACAAAGATAAAATTTAAATTAATAGAAAGAAATTGCCGAAATAAAAATTTTGCTTAATTCATATACTATGCGAAAGTGTCCTAGTCCACCAGTTAGGACCGTCTTGTGTGCCTGTTTTGTCTACCACCAGCAATTCACCCTCGCTCCTTTCGGGTTCGTCTCTAAGAACGTTTTAACGGTTAGTATACCTAGATATCTCAAAGATGAAATATTTTACCACTCTAAAAAGTTTCCTAAATGTTGGAGCGGACAACCAGCATACCAAATTTTATTAAAATCCGTTCAGTGGTTTTCTCGTGATGTGTTCCCAGACAGATAGACAGATAAAAATTTAAAAACTATATATTTGGCCTCTGTATATTATAAGATTTTTCAGAAAATATTTAATGTACAGATTCGAATCAGTTATGTTTTTATTATAAAACTAAATAAATGTCTATAAAACAATAACTACTTTTGAAATACTCGTAGGTTAGTTTTTATTCAAGGTAATAATTTTCTCACAACATAGAGGTTAAAGAGGTTATATACCAAACATTATTTTAAATTTTGATATTTTCTTGTAATATTATATATAAAATAATAATAACAATATAATTCAATTATTTTTTACAACAAAAACAAACCTATCCCACGGGAACCATATATTTTACCGGGATTAAAAATAGCCTATGTGTTATTCCAGACTATAATTTATCTCTGTGCTAAATTCCATCCAGGACTGTTCAGCTCTTCTGGTGCGAAAGTGTAACAAACATCCATACTCACAAACTTTCACATTTATAATATTAATACAGATGAAAACTCGTTTTGCAAAAATGTAGAGTTTAGATATACCTACGTGTATACAGAGTGGAAAAAAACGAATGGGACGTGGAAGAAAAATACCATAAATATTGACCATATCAAACACCAAAGGGAAACATTTGTTTATTTAAAAAATAGTAATAATAACACCATTTAAACATTTTTTATAAAGCTTACCAGAGGCAGTAATCGAACTAGTTAAAAACGGAAAATATTATAAAGTCACTATTTTATGCAATGCAGTGCAGTTATTATTATTTAAAAAAATAAAGGAATGTTTCCTTTTGAGTGCTTGATATCTTACTTTTCTTCCATGTCCCTTTCTTTTATTCCTCCCTGTATACATATGTCTATAGTAGATATGTATTTAAGAAAAAAATGTTTTCACAGAACGGAGCTGCGAGTAATATCCATACTTCCATACTTACTAATATTATAAATGTGAAAGTGTGTTTGTTTGTTTGTCTGTCTGTCCTTCTTTTACGTCGAAACATAGTAGGGGATTGGCGTGATTTTTTGTGTGGAGATAGTTGGAGGGCTGGAGAGTGACATAAGCTACTTTTTACCGCGGGAGATTGTCTAATTCCCACGGGAAAACACGTTATAATACAATCCTATAAGGGGGTAAAGTAGGGGATGAAAGTTTGTATGAAAGTACCTTTTTAAAGATTTTTTTTGTAGTTTTAGCGCGAGCGAAGCCGCGGGTTCTGCTAGTTTTTTATAATTAAATGTAAAACAAATTTTGATATTTAGAGCTTTTTGTAACGAGTTCTTTGATACCGGTTTGTAATAGTGTCGTTTGAACACAATTTGTGTGCAAACGATTCCGGATGTATTTTTTATGCTTCAATACTTGGTTTTTGTTCTTATACCTATACTAGCGACTCACTTATCCTTCGTTCGGGTTCGCCTCTAGATACGTTTTGACGCTTAGTATGGAATAGATATACTATATTTACAAAGATATGGTGAGTTTTATGTCTCTTATTTCCACCCCCCCTTTTAGCCCTTAAGATATGATTTCCGGGATGAAAACTATCCTATATATCCTATATGTATATCCTATGGAACATATTCAACTGCCTCGGTGGTGTAGTGGCTAGCATGTACGGCTGCACACTCGGAGGTCCTGGGTTCGAGTCCCGGGTCGGGCCAAGTTTAGTTATTGAGTCTTTCTGTATAGTAAGTCTCAGTAACAGGCCGAAGTTGGGATGTTGGCGGTGCTTCACCCCGTGCCTCGGAGAGCACGTAAAGCCGTCGGTCCTGCGCCTTTACTCTTACTGGTCATGTCGAGTGGTCGTCCCACCAGAGTATGAGAGTGACAGGAATAGAGAGTGCACTTGTATCTGCGCGTACACTTGTGCACTATAATATCTCCTGCGCAGTTGGCTAGTCTCAATGAGATTGGCTGCCGTGGCCGGAATCGGCCAGCAGAACATCATCATATCCTATGGAAAGGATCCCAGGGCCTCAAACTATCTCCACACCAAAATTCGCCTTAATCGATTCAGCGGATTAAGCGTTAAAAGGTAACAGACACACAGAATTACTTTCGCATTTATAATATTAGTATGCAATAAGTGTTTTATTTGAATACAATAGAAATAAAATGTGTGTATCCGTAATAAAATATTGTTCATTTGAAAAAAAGAATATCCATACTACCTAGCTTGATAAAGCTGTGTGGAACCTATGTTGAATAATAAAATTATTTTTAGACTTTGAGAGATTTATACATATTTTATACTTACAAAAGTCTACAGGATTGTGGTATGGGGGGCATATGAGGTTCATTTGTTTGAGATATGGCAAAAGTCGTGACACTGAACCCATATATGCACATCTTCCAGCCACCACAGCGTATAGCCTGTCCACCATGTGAAGGAGTATCGCTGACGGCTGGTGCATACTAATTATTACCGTCCGCCCTTGTCGCGACAACAGGTGTAAGAGATATACCAGCTGCTTCGATATTGAACAGTCGAGGCCACTGTAAGCAAAATTATGATAATTATTATACTTATATACATGGTACATTTCGAGAATTGTTTTAGTGTTGATTATAAAAGGAAGGGACCAAAGCTTATGGTCAAATGAATGCAATGCCGGATTTAGAATGTCGGGGAACCGGGGTAATTAAGGGATGCTTATTTTTTTTTTGGCTTTCAGTATTTTTAGTTTGCCATTTTATTACGGTAACGTTAAAAACGTTTTTCCAAAACTAACTCCTACCTTCTACCCTCTCATGAATCATCTCATTTTTGTAAAATAAATAATAAAAATATTTGTTATTAATTAAAAAGGATGTACAGACAGCACTGTGATGTAGATTTTAGGTATAAAAGCTTTTGTTTCTAGTTTCTTAACTTGTACAAAAATTGAATTAGGAGACATATGTATGTACATTGTACATCATTCCCAAACTGTGTTGTTTTTTATTCTACTATTTATTTTATATATTAGCTTTAATTTACGATTTTTTTTTCATTTTTTTTAAACCTTGTGAATGTATGTTGGGATCCTACTGGTCTTATTTGTTTATTCCGACAACGTTTCTGATAAGATAGAAAATGATAGCTATAATTCTAATTTAAAAATTTATCATTTTGTCAATATGATAAACTTATACATATAATAATAAAAAATACAATAAAAAAGAGAAACCTCTACATGAAATATTTTTAACAAGTTATGGCTGTTACGTATTGCGTACGGAATATTGTCTATATTTATTGTAATGGATGTTAAAATTTTTGTTTATGTGTTTGTTTGTTTGTTTGTCTGTCTGTACACAGATATATGTGTATTTCGCGCAAAAATTACTCAAAACTCAATAACTCGTCGGCCGAGTTATCCTTTATACAAAAATTTCCATGACTTATTACAAAAAACTTTTAGTAGTAATTAAAATATTTTTAAAATTAACATACTTATTTAATAATTTAGTGCGGTAAAGTCTCTCATTGTCATGGAAAAATTTAAAATTTAGTTCGAGCGCAAGTCGCTCATCTACGTAATTTAAATAAATATACTCGTATATAGTCTGCTTTTGTCTGTTTCTCCGCTTACTTCTAAACCACGCAATAGTGTGTGTGTAGTGTGTGTTATAAGTTTGACGTCGACGTCTGTCCGTCTCTCTCTCTGTGTGTGTGTGTGTGTGTGTGTGTGTGTGTGTGCGTGCGTGCGTGCGCGCGTGCGTGCGTGCGCGCGTGCGCGCGTGCGCGCGTATGGGCGTATGCGCGTGTGCGCGTGTGCGCGTGTGCGCGTGTGCGTGCGTGCGTGCGTGCGTGCGTGCGTGCGTGCGTGCGTGTGTGCGTGTGCGTGCGTGCGCGCGTGCGTGCGTGTGTGCGTGTGCGTGCGTGCGTGCGTGCGTGCGTGCGCGCGCGCGCGCGTGTGTGCGTGCGCGCGTGCGCGCGTGCGCGTGTGCGCGTGTGCGCGCGTGCGCGTGTGTGTGTGTGTCTGTGGCATCGTAGCTCTCAAACGGATGGACCGATTTCGATGCGGTTTTTTTCATTTGAAAGCCAGTTTCCTTGCGGTGGTTCTTAGCTAATATCGTTCCAGCAGTGTAAGAGTAGTAAGTGCTTCACGTGTGCCAGTGTAATCTTTAAATGAGAATTAATTTGCGTAGGGGGGTTTTTTTAATTTATAATTTTTACCCGATACGACATACTATGTATATATATGTATGTATGTATGTATGTATGTATGTATGTATGTATGTATGTATGTATGTTTGTTTGTTAGTTGATAGATAGAATAATAAATGCTAAATAAATGTAGCAACGAAAGCGACGTAGCCATTATTTACGAAGTAAGAAAAGTTTATTTATGTTTAGGTTAGATTACTCGGCTTCGTATTGACGTCACATATTTTGCTTTATTCAAATTATATTATTAATTCATAGTATAATGCATAATATTACGTCTATTGACCTTATAATATATTTACATAAATTACAAATTTCTATCTTATTTTAATAAAATAAAAAATACGAATTGCTACGAGTTACGAGTGTCGAGATACGGACAATGAATATATATATGTATGTATGTATTTCTCATCTTTTGAACTCACTTTAGTTCTTTTCATTTGTTGCAATTTCAAATACAGACAAACAACAGACACGTCAAACTTTCATTCTCATTATATAAGTTATGATAATTACCTTAGAGTGTAAATAATACAATTTGATAATATATTATTTTAAAAAGATAAAAAAAACTTGTATGTTGTCAGAAGATAACGCTAAAATAATTTAGAATGAATTTCAAAAAACGTATCCAAAAATGTCTAAAAATATTATAAGTATTTAAGAATGACACATTTTATTAAAAGAAAGCATTAATACTTAAACGATAATTTAAATAATTTACAATCACAAGGCAATGTCTGATAAGATTGTCAATTATTATTCCTCATTACGATTTTTTTTATTTTTAAATTGCATAGCGATAGCAGTGACTAAGAATCAAAGGTCGAATGTTTCTTAATAATTACTAATGGCGGACAGAATAATAAATTCTCCAATTTAAAGTTCACATATTGTGGATTGAATTGTTTAAATAAATAATTGTTTTGTAGAAATTTTCTTATATTTATAAAAAAATATGTATTGTTAAAATTGCGAACGTACGGACAACATAATTAACCGACTTCCAAAAAGGAGGAGCTTCTCAATTCGTCGGAATCTTTTTTTTCTTTTTTTTATGTATGTTCACCGATTACTCGAAGACGCCTGAACCGATTTGGATTTTTTTTTGTGTTTCAAAGGGTATACGTCCCAGGTGGTTCCATATAAATTTTATCGAAATCGGTCGAGCGGTTTTAAAAAAAATCAACAATAAATATATTTTTTAAATAAATTGTTTAATCGAATATGTTATTAAAAAACTTTCTTCTTACAAATTACGTGCTTATTACGTCTACACTAAAAATGGAAAAATATAAACTTTTTAACAAAAAATAAAAACCGACTTCCAGGCACTAGATGTAAAAAATAACTAAACGGAGGTTTTCATTTCGAATAGATACCTAATCAGATATTTTCGAAGTCGGTGCCAGTCGAAAATATTTTAAGATATGAATATCTAATAGGTAAATATTATGTATTTTACTTATCGAAATATATTAGATTTGCTTTCCATCGGCTAGGTACGTTTTAGCTAGATATAAATAGTTATTAGCCAGCGTTAGCCATTTAAATTTTAATTTTTTTTGTTAATAATATTGACAAATATTGACATTAACATTTATACGATACTAACGTCACTCAATTGTTTTGCCTTCCCGGAACCTCTTCACTGACACTTAAACTTTATGGTATGGTATTAAAGTTCAAATTGACTATTACGAATCTTTTGTATGGGAGTATAGACAAGAGTTGTTTTTAGACTTTTTCAGTCAATTTTTTAATTTTTTTCTCTCCGAAAGAGCCATCCTCGTACTTCAAGAAATATTCTAAAAAAAGAATTAGCGAAATCGGTTCGGCTGCTCTCGAGATTTACGCTTAGCAACACATTCAGCGATTCATTTTTATATTATAGAGGTAAATAGAACTTGTCAGTTACTTGTATAGTTTTTATTTAACTTTTAACTCGTGGACATCGCGAACGGCTATTTATCCATCCTCTACAGTAGATCTATCATCTATATTTGAAGATACAAATTGGACCTGATTGATTTTACTAAATATTTAAAAATAGATACACTTCCATTTATAATATTTATAAATATAATCTTTGCTAAGAAAATAAAATACATGTTACCTTGTAGGTTCATCTAGGAACATAACTGGCGGGTCGTTGACTAGTTCGACGCCTATAGCCAGCCTTTTCTTTTGCCCCCCGGACAGGTTGCCTGCTCTCGTGTTTCGTACTCTGCTCATTCCGAGTGATGTTATGATTTCTTCTACCTACAAAACATTAAGATTTAGATTAAGATAACATATTATTTTTAATTTGATGCACTTAGATTACATATTTATGTTTTTTTAATTATATTTAAGCATGCAAAAACAGAAATATATTAGATTTCAGTCACTTAAGAATAAGGGCGATGCAAGTGGATTTTTTTTTGGGATACTCATTACATTGTTACAATTAACTTGAGCGTGTTACGGATGCTCTAGCCTAGCGTATTTAAGCACGTGTATATCATTTTGTTGAGTTCAAGGTTATGTCTATTCATATGACACCTAGTATAGTACTTAGTGTGTACTGTGTAGGCCTTAACGGTACTTTAAATTAAAGTGTGGGCTGTATATATAAATTACAATATATTTATATAAAATATATTAGAAGGAATTGTTTCTAGTTTATCGGAACGGGGTACGGGGGAACGTATCGGGGAGGTTTGCCTTTACGTTATCTATTTTATTCTTATTATTGTCGCGAAAAACTGCTGCGTTTGCGCTTTGAAATAAGTATAAAAATATTTAACTAATTTCTATTTTCTATATAGACTTAACTATTTTATCTGACGTTAATATATTTAAGTATAATTTTATTTCTTTTAGGCCGATAAAAGTGTAAAATTAGTAGTTAGTATATAGTAGACATATTAATATCACTAAACCTCATAAACTCGTTTTTAAATTTATTAAGACTAGTGATCGCCTCGTGGTTGTGTGATATATTAAATATATTATTATAAATAATATTTAATAAAATATATTATAAATAATATTTAATAAAATAAATATTAAATAGCCTATAAAATCCTAAAGAATTTTGAAAGAAATTACAAAATATTAATCTATTCTCATTTTGACCACAGACTTTAACTATAGACAAAAGAGTAGGTATATATGCGTGTATGTGTCAAATACATGGTGTGTAATGTTTTTTTTTATTGATTTAATGTATTTTTTATGCATATTAAAAAAAATATTAGCATTCTGCACTCCTTCTCTATATAAACTATAAGTGTGGGAAATTTCATACTCCTCCGTCCGCGCTATTTTCGTAAAAAGGGCTAAAAATTTTTTGCTTCGCGTATTAATATACTGGCATTGCCCGCGGCTCCGCCCGCGTTGAGATGACCAAAAACCAAATTCTTCGGTTTTACATGTTAGTATACTTATACATTGTAGTTTTGGTATTTTTTCTCAAAGATGAAATATTTTCTTGACTCAGATAACCAGCTATCACCATACCAAATTTCATCAAAATCTCTCCAGTGGTTTTTCTGTGATGCGGTAACAGACAGACTGACAGACTGACAGACAGACAAAAATTCTAAAAAATATAGATTCTGCCTCTGTTTCGATAATAATGTTTATTTCAATAAGATTTTCCAAAAAATATTTATTGTACAGATTCGGCTTAGTTACAATCTTATTATATGTATAGATATAGATTTATTCATACATAAAATGTATAAAATTATTACTCATTAAAAGATCGCGCATTAACTTAACATTCAAAATATAATGATAATTTAATAAATAAAATATAACACTAATAAATTAAGTCTAACAACATTTTTTAAAGATCGTTAGTTAATATTATTTACGATTACATTGTTAAGAAGATAAATATATTTTGCGCGTATTTTTTATTTGAAAAATATACAATTAACAGAGTATTTTTGAGTGATAGAATTAATTTCAATCGCTCGAAGGAGAGATTTAGCTAGAGTTTAAATAAACAGTCAGAACGCTTATTTAAGTATATTCTATGTTTGGCAACTTTGGGTTATAAAAATATAAATGATACATAATTATCCTCCCTTATCTTATTATAATTATACTCCATCGCGTATAATATCAATATGTGTATCGTATGTGTGTGTGTATTGAGCCCTTTTTAATATCCCACTGCTGAGCTTGGGCCTCCCTTTGATACGAGGGGAATCAGGCCATAGTCTACCACGCTGATCAAGTGCAGATTGACGGATTGCACATGTCTTTCAAAACTTGCTTGGTTCTCTCAGACATGTATGTTTTCTCACGATGTTTTCCTTCACCGTAAGACAAGTGGTTGGAAAATCAACCGCGTTATCACTAGGCTACCACTGCCTGTGTTCGTAGAATTAGTAACAATCGTCGTCGGGTGCGACGATTTCCGCGTGGCGTTACGGAAAAAATATCATATATTAAATTCATTAAAATTCATACAATCGTTTATCTGTATATTTACTCAAGGATTGTTTATATAATTTTTGTTTATTATCCTATGGGATATCTAATTTTTTATGAGATACACACTATAAAACTCTAGATGTTTTCACGAATGTAAAGTATTAATCATGCCAATGTTTCGTACTATTAATATGTTATTTATACAAAATTTGTGATGTATAAGTTACTAGTAGCGCACCCTCGCTTCGCTCGTGTTCGTCGCTAGGTACGTTTTAAATAGGTATAATATTTTTTTTTTATGGGACTTAGGGGGCAAACGGGCAAGAGGCTCACCTGATGAAAAGTGATCACCGCCGCCCATGGACATCTGCAACACCGCAGGGCTTGCAGATGCGTTGCCGGCCTTTAAGAAAGGAATACGCTCTCTTCTTGAAGGTGGCCAAGTCGTAGCGGTTCGGAAAGACCGCCCGCGATAGGTGGTTCCACAGAGTGGTTGTGCGGGGCAGAAAATGCCTTAAAAATCGCACTGTTGTGGAACGCTGGACATCGAGGTGGTGTGGATGGAATTTACTATTTTGGCGCGATGTCCGATGATGAAATTCAGCAGCCGGGATCAGTCCGAACAATTCCTCGGAACACTCCCCGTGATAGATGCGGTAGAAGATGCAGAGTGATCCAACATCTCTACGCAGAGCTAAAGGATCAAGCCGATCGGAGAGAGCTTGATCGTCGATAACTCGAATCGCCCTACGTTGAATGCGGTCAAATGGAAGTAGCTGGTACTGGGGAGCTCCCGCCCAAAGATGAGAACAGTACTCCATGTGGGGCCGAATTTGCGCCTTATAAAGAATAAGACGCTGACGCGTTATTAGCCATTATTATAGTTATTATATATTATTATAGTTATTAGCCAGCGTTAACCATATAAGTTTTCATATTTTTGCGCGGGCACAAATCCAACAAATCAAAGATCATTGAAATCGGTCCAACCGGTCGTGTTGTACAAAACCTGACTTTGTTATATATATATAGAGTTAAATGACATAGTGTATTTAGGAAATGTATTAAGCAAAAATAATGCATTTATATTATTTTACTTAAATGAAAACGAAGGAAATGCGACCTAAAATGGGTTGGTCGCGTAGTAAGTATGAATGAGGAAAATTGGTCAAAATGAATTATCATACAAAAGAAGTGCAAATCGAAGGTTAGGCAGAAGGCTAGAATTCTCTATGGAATTTGTACAAATCAAACAATTTTAGCTTTGAGCTGAAAAAAGGAGTTTTTTTATAAGAAAGTATACGATATATAAGAACAATGTATTTACTGTATAAATTATCGAATTGCAACGATATTGTAATCAATACCGTATCATAGCTACCTACAAATAGGATCTATTATAAAAAAACAGGTATAACTTTTGCAATTTATTATAGAATTAGGATTATATTATTATTATTAATTTAAAGTTTTTAATTTTTATGTCAATCTTAATAATAAACTTTCTTAATTTAAGAAAATTTATTATTAAAATTCAGACAAAAAGATTACACAATTGCTAGAGTAAATTTTAAAATAAAATATAAAATCCGAAAAGTGCGAATCGCAAGTCAAGGCTTCCGTAGTATGAAATATTCAATGTATGTTTTTTTAATATACATAATTTGTTACGCTAAAGACAATATAAATAATTACACATCTACAATATTTGTTTCAGTAAAGGTAAAATAAGCTTTTATTTGACAGTATTTCCTTAAATTTCAATCGAAAACCGAAAATATCCCATGTCTCAAAAACTACTCTTTATAAGACTAATTTTCATTAAAAGTATTGGTTCTTGCTAAATTTAAAGATTCTGTTTGAACGGAAAAAAAGGTTCTGATTTACTTTCCAGTATCAAAATATATAGCATAAAGAGGTCTTTGGTTTTTCATTTCCATTCGATTTTTTTACAGCTCCAATGGATTGTAGACCGTTTTGACAAACAGACGGTAACTAAGATTCTATAGTTAATATATTTCTATTCAGGTACCGAGCCCTAAAAATAATTCATTTCTATTAAACTTATCCTAGTAAGTGTAAGCGGGACCTGATTTAAACTATCTTTTTTGTTAAATGGCGGAAAAATACACCCGATAACATACAACTAAGGCTTACGTTCTCTACTACATATTGATAAGTCGGTAGAAATATGATAAGCTAGCTACTCACCCTCGCTTCGCTTGGGTTCGTCCATAGTGAAAAACGAATTATCCAACAGGAACCGAATATTTTTCCGGGATACTTTTTTTCTTATTTCAGACTATAATCTATCACTGTGACAAATTTCATCCACATCCGTTCAGCCGTTCTAGCGTAATTGAGTAACAAACATTCATCCGTCAAAACTTTCGCATTTATTTGTATATACTAAGTAATATAAAATGACGACCACATACCCGTCGTCCTTTCTGTTGTGTGCTTACGTGGTTTCCCAACTTAAGCTCAGCGGCGATCCTTAAAGACTCTTCAACGGTGAGCTCATCATGCACCTGGTCGTCTTGCAGGATGTAGCACGATCGTCTTCGGAAAATCTTCTCATTTCGAACTATGCCGTTGACAAGTATTCTTCCACTAGAAGCTTTTCTGTAATAAATATATAAAAAAATATGTTGAGTGTTTTAAGTCCTTTTTTAAATTGAGGTTAAAATACTTTTTGATATGAGCATTTGCTTTTTGAAGGGTCCACTAATTCAAATGGAATTTTAGATAAGAGTTAACTCTGAACAATTGTACCTTTCTTACAATATTCATACTGGTACGTAGAATTCCGTTGTAATCTTTATATATATAATTCTTCTGTGAGTGTGTATGTCACTGAACTTCTCTCAAACGACTGGACCGATTTTGATGAAATTTTTTGTGTGTGTTCAAGGGCATCTGGGAATGGTTTAGATTCACAATTTGAATAATAATTTTCATCAAAAAAATTATTAAAAAAATTTTGAAATTTTCAAATTAAAGACGTGTAGACAGGACAACGTCTGTCGGGTCCGCTAGTCATTTATATTGTTCTAATTGCCTGTTTTTAGGTCAGTATTCATATACAAAATTTAACTTTTCGTTATTACCGTTTTTGACTTGAATTTATATTATTATTAAGCAGCCTATTACATTATGATCGTGATTTTGAAATTCAATGCCCATCTTTGGCGTTCTTATTCGGAGAAACTGAAACTCTTCGACGATTTTGACTTATTGTATGGTGGACAATATTTATTAATATAGTTCATAGCGGCCTCGCTTTTCGAAAATTTTCATTATTAATTGAAATAAAGCCAAAATTCCGAAGCAAGCATTTAATAAAATGAGCGACGGGACTTTTTCAAGCTCATGGATTGAAATACTAATGAAAAATATATAATAATATCTCGTATATGTGTAGTGGTTGAGTTTATAGCGGCCTCGGAATTTGAAAATATGTATTGGATTTCTACAAAAAAAAAATTTTTAATCTTAAAACCATTCAAATTTAGCTGTAAATATATCTTTCCAACTTTAATATTATTAAGTATTTATACCAGAATATATATCAGTTCAAAAGAAACGTATTTACATATTTTTTTTTAAATAATTTATTATAAAATTTTTACATAGAAGTAATTAGGTACATCTGCAGAAAATGCTAGAAACAGCGATGTGTCAGCCGCTCGAACGCAATGCCATAGAACTCAGCACATTTTGTGATAGGCCTCTTAAATTCAACGCAAATTATTTACGAATATATTAAGCAAATAACTAGCTTGTTTTAATTATATCTAAAATATGTTACTAATAGGTTTTATATATCCTTGAACCGGTGGTATAGCTAGCCTTTTTGGGCGACAATGAAAAAAAAATGGAAGTGCTCCCTTTTGCACCATTCTGAAAACCAGTGTAGTCCACAGACATTGACAGTTTTCGAACTTCTCAATTTTTTCAAACTGCTGTCACAGAAGAACGTGTTGAGTAAAATTAAGTAAAAAAGCTGAGTTTAGAGAACCATTCATCGTTTTATTGAATATACATAGGTACAATCACATTCCTTGTAGTCCTCGTAAAAAATAATTGTGTTCAAAATTTGAAGCTTCTATGTCTGCTAGAAGTACCTTAGAATTTTGATGATCGGTGAGTGAGTGAGTGAGTGTGTGAGTGACGATATTAACGAATTTTGATCTGCAACAGTTCATAAACTACTGGTTCAAATTGAATGTAATTTGGAAATGCACCTAGTTTTATTATGTTCTCTTAGTCACTCAAAATTCAAGCTTCTAGCTTTATCCATAACGAAGTTATGGGGGGGTGGAAAATGCTCTGAATCCCTTCGAGAAAAGGATGGTACTGCCGTGCCCTTTTTTGCTCGACTTGTTTGCTCGACTTGGCGGGGGCACTGCCGTGTCCCCCGATATGCAACTTAGCACACTTTTTTCTTGCGGGTTTTTTAAAATTCTATGAGGGCTGTCCTTGAAAAAATGTTTTGAAATAAAAAAATCGTTTTCAATCTTTCTTTATATGTATTAAAAAAAATTCTTAAGGTTTATAGAAATTTGTACATTTCTTAAATTTGTTTGCGTAAAATTAATTAATTATCTATTTTATCTTAAGAGTTTGATTTTTTCTTTGTTTGAAAGCTTCTGCGGCCTATCTCTAAAGGTACTTACTGATTTGGTTTGAAATCTATACATGTAATAAAATTTTGAGTCAAATATGTACATTAAATATTTTAAGACAAATCTTATTTAAGTTTTCTGTCTGTCTGTCTGTCTGTCTGTGACCGCATCACGAAAAAAACACTGGAGGGATTTTGGTAAAATTTGGCATGATGATAGCCGATTATCTGGGTCAACATATAGGAATCTTTTTACTTGGAGGAAATATCTTATCTCTGAGAAATCTATAATAAACGTTAAAACGTAAGTAGGGACGAACCCAAGCGAAGCGAGAATGAGTCGCTAGTACTTAATATAATGCTATAGGTAGCCGATCCATACGGGCAATTATAGGCACATAAATAAATTGCGGACGGAGACGCGGATCAATGCTAATATTTATATAAAAAGATGCATTATAAAAACTTTTATTACCGTTATAAAGCATAAAAAAAACTAACATAATGACAAAGTAGATAAATTGAAAGGATACGGTTAATTATAAACTCAATGAGCACTTCCTTATGATCTACATTCTTAAGAGTAAAAAGATTGCTTTTTATGCAGAGATAAAATGTGACGTATTGATAAAAAATGAAACACTTTGATGCTATTGCGGAATCCTGTTTAAGTTTTATAATGTAAAATTATTTATATTTCGTAAAAGTACACGTTTTAATGGATTTTAATGCATTTAATTCGTCAAAATGAACGAAGTTTTTACTATATATATATATATATATATATATATATATATATATATATATATATATATATATATATATATATATATATATATAATATATAAATTATCTTGAAAGCGTATTAGCAAAATAAGACTTTTGAATATTTTGGCATGCATGCTGTTCGGGCGTGTAACACGAGATAGATTTTAATATACCTAGCAAACGTGACATACAGTCACTTAGTATTATAAAAAACCACTCAACTCGGGAGAGAAATCACACACCACGCTGGCCAACTGCGGGTTGGTGGAATTCACATGTCTTTCGAAAACTTGCTAAGTTTTCACGATTCTTTCCTTCACCGTAAGACAAGTGGTCATCATGTTGAAAATGATTCGGACATGATAATAAATAGATATCAGAGATGCGCGACCTGGGATTTGAATCCCCTTCACTCAGTTTTGCAAACGAGCGTGTTACCACTGGGCTACCATTGCCATGATTAACTTACAATTTCATTTATATTTCATTTACATACATAACATACATGCTGAATATATTTAAAAATAAAAATCAATAAAAGTGTTAGAAACACCGATATCTAGGAATGTTAAGTTTAGATTACATATAGGTTAATCACATACTGATATGGAACTTTAAAAGTATTATCTACAACAAGTTTAGTCTAAATATAACTATTTAGTAGTACCGAGCTAGTGCTAAGAGTGCTAGTGCTAGAGTTAAAAAGTCCTAACCCGTTCCCCGCACGTGTATAAGTAATAGTAAAATCGTATGGGAAATAACAGATGATGCAGGATTAAATTTAGCTTTATCATTCTATGTAATATCGATCCTTTCGTCAATTCGTTGCTCCGTTCTTGTGTAATGATAAGTGATTAAAACAGACATATCAAAATTAAAGGATTAAACATCGCGACATTCTTTTTTATTAAAGTATTACGAGTATAATATTAAATGGATATACAATTAATTTAAGAATCATACTGAATTAATGTGATGTATATGCTGAGCTAGCGAATTTACCTCACTTCGTTCGAGTACGTTCTTGGGTGCCTTTTGTATTTATTTACACTAATTTTATAAAGAGGGAAAGTTTGTTTGTTTGTTTGAACGCGCTAATGTAAGGACTACTAATTAAAGATTCGAATTTATTTTTAAATATATAATATATAATAATTATTTTTGCATTAGACAGCCCGTTTATTGATTATATAGGCTTTATGTCATCTCTATCTATTCCATGTTATGCATTAAAACGTACCTAGTGACGAACCCGAGTGAAGTGAGGTTGAGATGCAAGTAGTATTATAAAAATACATAGGTCAAGCTGTTTAGCGTGAAGTTTTAGATTAACGAACATACACTCATATACAAAGACATACACAGAAACGTACATACAAACTTTCGCATTCATAATGGTATCCCGATCTATTTTCTTGTATTAGGATTTCTTATCATTGTTGTTATCGTGAAACTTAACTTGCAATCTTAAACAAAACTTACAATAGATAAAACAATTGTTAAAAATTAAATATATCTGAAGGCCAGTTGTTGTCAAGTACGATAAAATTACCTATTAAAGATGTTACATGAAGCAAGATATTTTATAACATTTCATAATCCATATCATAAACATATGAGTTGAATATCTCACTATAATAAAAATTGTAATATCTCCTTTGAACAAATTCCTTTTATTTTATTAATTAAAATAAAATAAGCTAAAAATTTACCTTTTCCGTAAGTTGAATCCTCACAAGATTTACCTATTAACATCCTGTTTGCCTTTTGATATTAAATATGCGAAAGTTTGCAGGCATGTTCAAATGTTTGTTACTCATCACGCGTATATCATTGTCTCAAAATAGGATTATTTCTTATTCTGTTTTATCATCATGAGGATAGGATAATTGTTCAATTTTAATGAAAATAAATAATATACAAAGAATAAATGTTAAATCTATCAATAGAAGGCTCTGTCGAAGAAAACGCTTTTAACGATGAAACTGCAATAGAAACGTAACGACTCTATCGATTTTGGTGAAATTTCGAATGGCTATAGCTAATATTCTGAATTAATTCAGATATGCAAATGATAACGTTGGCAAAAAGAAGTTTTTTAGATTTTTCTAACGTTTGATACACTGCGAATTTGGTGGCGAAAACGAAAGGTTTTATTTTACGTTTACCTACTTTTAATTACTGAAAGAAGGTCAAATTCATCCTCAATGTAATTTATATAAGTAATATAATTATATATTGGCAGACTGGTTGATACAACGGACAAATGTTAATGTTGAATTATAAAATCTGGTCATTTGCAATAACTGTTTTTAATTCGTATGTACACGGACACAGCGTTTTGGCTTTTAAGCGTGCCAGTTGGGTACAGATTAGGTACTTCACCAATGTCGTGTAGTATGGAGAAGACACGACACAGCATACAACGAAACTGCTAACACGACCTCTCAATAAATTACACAAACAGTTGGTTTCCAATTTGAACATTTTATTAATTCCCCGCCAAATCTTTTATCTTTCATTTTTCGTTTTTTATTAGTTTTAACTTTACTTTATTCATTAGAGGTCTCTAACGAATGAAGTGATAAATGTAAATAAAATAATTTTACCGTCATTAGACGAAAATTGAAATGTTTCTTTCATGACAAAATAAAAAAAACTTTTATATCAAAATATAATATTTTATTTTACTCGACATTTCAATTTAAGCACCGGTTAAAGAAATAGATTTATAAGCGTTTGTTAACATTTTGATAAAAATAGTACGAGAGTGATAAAGATAAATAACGTCAACTATCCCCGTTGTGAGGCAAAGATAATTTAAAAATTAACAAAATAATGTTATCGTGCTTCATTACTTCATTATAATAACATGCTAGGTCTTATGGATCAAGATCCGGCTGCAAGATTGCTACGTTCATAGCGTATTTAATCAAAATCAATTTTACCTATACAATAATAAAAGGGACAATAGGTATGTTTTGACTGGGGTGCCTATTAAAATGTGCCCACTAATATGTTTAATTAAATAAATAATAATTGACTTTTTGGAACAAAATCGATGCACTTGTTATTAAAATGAATTATACTCCACTTCACAAAAATAACATAGAGATCTTGAAGAGTAATAGCTGCCGTTGCGCACTTGGCTGCAACCTCTTCGCAGCCAAGTGTAAGCAGGTCATATTTTGTTACATTTATACGTTCATGGCGTATATTCATTATTTATATATCAAACTAATTATAGCTAATTTTTTTCTGTGCATGATAAAATACCTTAACCTGTGTAAAAGTGGCTGCAAAGGAAAGAAAAGAGGGAAAGAATATAATATTATATATCATTTGTCAGACAATAACAACGGTTACCATGGCAACAAATAGTACGTTACTCTGTTTTGATGTGAAAGAAGGACAAACAACCAAACACACTTTCACGTTTATAATATTAGTATGGAAGTATGGATATTACAAATTACAATATACATACCTAGTTCAAAATGATTTAGGTAATAATCAAGAATTTAGTTATGATTTGGATTACAACGTCCGTTCCTACACATACGGTACTATCATAATAATAATATTGCGCACAAATTGTAAGCAGCATGTTTAACAATGTCTAGCTTTACTTTAATGATACATATTAGTTAATTTATACATATAATAAAATTGTAACTAAGCCGAATCTGTACATTAAATATTTTTTGGAAAATCTTATTGAAATAGACATTATTATCGATACAGAGGTCGAATCTATAGTATTTAGAATTTTTGTCTGTCTGTCTGTCTGTTACCTCATCACAGAAAAACCACTGGAGGGATTTTAATGAAATTTGGTTTAGTGATAGCTGGTTATCCGGGTCAACATATAGGATACTTTTTACAGCGGGAAAATATATAATTTCTGAGAAAAAATACAAAAACTGCATTGTAAGAGTATACTAATATGTAAAACCTAAGAATTTGGTTTTTGGTCATCTGAACGCGGGCGGAGCCGCGGGCATTGCTAGTCTTCTATAATATAAAAATGAATCGCTGACTGTGTTGCTAAGCGCAAATCTCGAAAGCAGCTGAACCGATTTCGCTAATTCTTTTTTTAGAATATTCCTTGAAGTAACAGGATGGTTCTTACGCAGAGAAAAATTTAAAGAATTGCCTGAAAAAGTCTAAAAACAACACTTTTCTATACTCCCATACAAAAGATTCGTAATAATACTTAAAAGTCAATTTGAACTTTAATACCATACCATAAAGTTTAAGTGTACTTCTCCACTAGGAGAAGTTCCGGGAAGGCAAAACAATTGAGTGACGTTAGTATCTTATAAATATTAATGTCAATATTTGTCAATATTATTAACAAAAAATTAAAATTTACATAGCTAACGCTGGCTAATAATAGTAGGGGAGCCCAAGAGGGGATTTTCTGTAGTTACTCGAGCGCGGCAGATTAACATAAAAGAGGTTACCTTGCACTCTATTGAGTACTTTCACCATAATATAAGTCTTCTATATAAAGGGGCGCGTCTAGGGAAGCCGATTAAAATATTTAAAAAATGTTTTGATAAGGTAGAAATACTTGAAACCGTCAGATTAAGGTGTGGTAGGCTAGTCACATCCTAAAAAGTGTCCAATTTAATAATCTGCCGATTTGCACAAGCCGAAGAGGCAAAAATCGACTATAAAGTTTATGATTCTTTTCAATCACTATGATCTTGCGTCTTTTTCATCAAAATCAAAGTAGCCACACTACACCATTCGACCGAGTTTTTCTTTGATTTTCCAGTTAGTAGCATCATGGTAGATGGATCAGATTAATGTGTTCAAATCAAAAAATCAAAAGGTCACATTTTCAATGCATTTATCTTAATTTCATACTTCTTCTGCCAAGTCCACGTTCCGTTAGCGTAAATCTTTGCCGTCATTGATGATGATGTTCTCCTGGCCGATTCCGGCCACGGCGGCCAATCTCATTGAGACTAGCCAACTGCGCAGTAGATATTATAGTGCACAAGTGTACGCGCAGACACAAGTGCACTCTCTATTCTTATCACTCTCATACTCCGGTGGGACGACTGCTAAACACGACCAGTGAGAGTTAAGGCGCAGGACCGACGGCTTTACGTGCTCTCCGAGGCACAGGGGTGAAACACCGCCAACTTCCTCGCTCCGGGCTGTTACTGAGACTTACTCTACAGAAAGACTCAACTCAACTAACTAAACCCCGGGACTCAAACCCAAGACCTCCGAGTGTAAAGCTGTACATGCTAGCCACTACACCACCGAGGCAGTTAAAAGCCGCAGGCCGTCATTAACGTTGCGTTATATATAGCCAAGCTTGCGGTTTAACTTATGATTACATTCATTATGATACGTATATTTATTATGATAGGTTTTTGAAAGTAAGAAGTCAAAACATACTTCCCAAATACCTACTATTATTAGTCTAGTGACTGGCATGTATGGCTGCAGTCCGGAGGTCGTGGGAATTGGGATCCCAGGCCGGGCCCAGTTTAGATATTAAGTTTTTCTGTTAAGAAATTCTCAGGAACAGCTCTGAGTTAGTTAGTTAGTTAGTTGATGGTTTTATACTTCCGTGCCTCGGAGAGGACTCGTAAAGCCTTTAATCTAGCGTCGGATCTCTCACCGTATTTTCAAATTTTCGTCTCACCGGAATCTTTAAGTGAAAGCGCACTCGTTCATTATCTCCTGCGCACGACTAGTTCCAGTGAGATTGGTCGCCGCGGCCAAAATCGGTCAGAAGGATATTATTATTACATTATTTTGTCCATTTGTTCTAGAAACATCTACCACTCAAACTATGGAATCTGTTTTTTAAAATAGCATATACATATATATTTTGTTAGTATTTTATACATACGTATAACCAGCGAGGATATCCATTAGAGAGCTTTTGCCAGCCCCCGACTGACCTATGAGTACGCTTAGTTCGCCTGCACTAAACTGCCCGCTGACGTCATTAATAATAGTCTTGCGTCCTGCAAACAAAATACCAAGTTGTTAACCAAGTTTTTGTTAAAAATTAAGAGATGCAATGCTAATTTATATTCTTCATATAACACAAATCTCATAAAGTTAAAAATTATAAAATTTCTTTAAAATTTTTAATGTCCATTCATTTTTGTCTAGAAATTTAAATGAATACATATTATATGTATAATGTGACATGCGTCGCTCTGCTAATTGGTTGTATCTATATAATATGTATTCAGACCTTTTTAACAACTCAGTACTGCCTTCCTTCAATACGAAGGAGATCAGGCCATAGCCCACCACGCTAGCCAAGTGCAGCTCGGCGGACGTCCCATATTTATTTATTTATACAGTTTATTGTACACAATGAAATAAAACAGGACAATTTATGTAGTGTCTAAGCCACAAAAGTTAAAAGTGTGCGAAAAACGCGGTCTTATCTTTAACTAGCATTACCCGCGGCTCCGCCCGCGTTCAGACGATCAAAAGCCAAATTCTTAGGTTTTACATATTAGTATATTCTTACATTGCAGTTTTTGTATTTTTTCTCAGAAATGAGACATTTTCCCGCGGTAAAAAGTATTCTATATATTGACCCGGATATCAAGCAATCACCATACCAAATTACATCAAAATCCCTCCAGTTGTTTTTCTGTGATGCGGTAACAGACAGACAGACAAAAATTCTAAAAACTATAGATTCGGCCTCTGTATCGATAACAATGTTTATTTCAATAAGGTTTTCCAAAAAATATTTAATGTACAGATTCGACTTAGTTATAATTTTATTATATGTTTAGATTAGCGATGTGGGTGGTGTAAATATAATATACAATACATACCACAATACAACCTAGTACTTAGAAATTCTACACATAGTTATATCTTTATTATTTATACAACCGTATGCTTACTAATATTGTAAATGTGAAAGTGTGTTGTACTTATTTCTTTCCTGCAATGATGTGTGGTGTTAATAATTAAATTACCTACAGCACAAGCTATTATAAAAAAATTAAATTAATTCAAATAATATAACGAAAGCCATGAACAAAAAAATAATGAGAAAACTTTAAACCAAGTAGGTACCTACGTGAGGGACTCATATTTCGAAAACTCGCTAGATTCTCTCAGACATGGTTTCTCAGGTTCTTTTCCGTTTCTCAAGTTTTTTTCCATCGCCGCGCCGTAAGACAAGTGGTAATTATTTTGAAAAATGCACTCTGCTAACAATAAAGTCCATATAAAAACAATAATTGTTTCTTTGTTTTTCGCAAATTGTTTTGCAAAAATATGCGTGGAATATAAGATAGAGATATATTATCTTCTAATATTACTTGAAAAAACCCCCATTAATCTATACATATAATAAAATTGTAACGAAGCCGAATCTGTACATTAAATATTTTTCGGAAAATCTTATTGAAATAAACATAATTTCTAAAAATCATGGATTCGTCCTCTGTATTGAACAGAAGACGAATCCATAGTTTTTAGAACTATTGTCTGTCTGTCTGTTTGTTACCACGTCACAGATAAACCACCAGAGGGATTTTGATGAAATTTAGTGTGGTGATAGCTGGTTATCCGGGTCAACATATACGATACTTTTTACCGCGGGAAAATATCTCATTTCTGAGAAAAAATACAAAAACTGCAATGTAAGAGTATACTACGAGTAATATGTAAAACCTAAGAATTTGGTTTTTGGTCATCTGAACGCGGGCGGAGCCGCGGGCAATGCTAGTATAATATAATATGCATTGTAGATACCTATGAAATTCAATGTACAAATGACTTTATAAACGTAACTTATAAAGTTATATTTACCTACTGCACGTTTCTTTTATATTTATAACTAGCATTGCCCGCGGCTCCGCCCGCGTTCAGATGACCAAAAACTAAATTCTTAGGTGTTACATATTAGTATACTCTTACATTGCAGTTTTTGTATTTTTCCTCAGAAATAAGATATTTTCCCGCGGTAAAAAGTATCCTAGGATCGCGCGCTACATCGCCCGGTTTATATAGCTTGAGCAGGCGGTCGAGCGATGCGGGGCAGAGGGGATGGACTCGCCGTAGGCATCTCAATGCTCGCCAAGCATTAAAAATGTTTCGCTACTAATTACTTCTAACAACGATATCTCAAAAACTATTCATCTGATTGATTTAGTGTAAAGAGCAATTTTAATCTGCATTAAATGACTAAGCTAACTAAAATATTCATTTGGATAAGGATTAATACCGAACTAAAGAAAATAACGTTGAAAATAACGTAATGTTTTTAATTAAAAATGTTAACATAAAAGTGGTTATTGTAAGTCAACCGTAAGAGATAGAGATATGCTATCGCGGACTTTTTGTAGCATTTTTATAGATTTTGAATTCTCTAGTACATTACTTAACTGTATCTTTGCTAGTTTACGCGGCGTTCGCGTGGAAAGTTCCCATTTGGCGAGATTTTTTGCGACCTCTTCAACATTTGTCGCCGTATTTCAGCTAATTTACATAAAAGCATAATAAATTATATACCTAAACCTTCCTCAAGAATTACTCTTTCTATTGTTGAAAACCGTATAAAAATCCGTTCAGTAGTTTTCGAGTTTATCGCGTACAGACAGACAGGAGGACAGACAGGAGGACAGAAAGACGCGGCCGGGGGACTTATTTTTATAATAAGTATAGATATTTACGGAAAAATATGTTATGTATATTATACTTAATAAAATATTATGGGTTATAAAGGTTACGTAATAAAAAAAGAGCACAAGTTTAGTATATGGGACGCGGCAAACAAACTCGTTCAACCAAGTGAACCATAACGCACACAAAGATTTTATTACATTATTATAAACACAGATATACAATACATAAAAATTCACTCTATTTCTAGTGCTTGAACGTAATCGATAAAATACATATATCGATGAACGAATGAATGGCATTTTAGACTTGAATTGTTTGATTTTGCGCCGACAATCAAACCCAGAACCTTCGAATGGGAAAGAAAAGGCGTATCATAAATAAGCTGTGAGAGAAAGGAAATAAAGGGAGAATGAAGGTGAGGTAAGCTTCTGGTATTTATATTTTAATTAAAATAAACGAGAACGCGGCTGAACAAGTGGGTGGTATTTTTTGATAGAGGAGCTGATAGGGCGTTTAAATATATAAAAATTATATTGAGAAAAGGAAGGAGTCAAAAGTAAATAAGTCGTTACAAAAGATAAGCATGCCTTACTTATAAACTTACCTTTAACGAATAGTGAACATCCTTTCTCGTGTAAAATACATATTTTCATAACGATTAAGGCTTTATTGTGTTAATATTTTGATAATTTCACTAATGAAATAATCTAAACGAAATCTTAAATTTTGACAGAACTGTCAATTTCTGTTTTATATACCACTTTCAGAACATAACAGATTATCGCTTAATTAAGAATTATTCATATTAAAAGTGAAAATTGTCATCAGATTACTAAGATTTTAAAATAGAAATATGTTATTTTCAATGCATTTACGAGTTTTTATTTAATTTATGTAAAATATTAACTTATATAATTAATTAACATTTAGCAAAAAATTTAAACCATTATTTGATGTGAATAGTTTTCAGTATTTTTGGCGGGTATTTACAAAATACCGCGAATTTCGATAGTTTATGTGACTAAGATACTCATTAAACACGTTTAATTTTCCGTATTTTTTGTTCTTTTTCATATTTATTTTTCTCATATTATTTTACAGTAGGCAGTTATTAGTTTCTGTTAATTTTCTTATAGTACGTTTGTTTCTAGTTTTTTTTTGTTTTAATAGTATTACTATAGTTTTAAGTGTTCTTAGTGTTTTATACTCATGCTGTTTATAATCTGTATTATTTATTTTCGATTAAGTGACAGTCCGACTTGAATAACGTAGGTTGAGCTACGCTACCCTTCGCTCCCGCCTTAGCCTTCTCGTTAGGTCTTTTTTTTCAAACCCAGAACCTCTGCTATCATTAGTGCTTTATATTAATTAAAACACGGTAATAGATCTGACTCATTATTTCAATATTTCCAAGTGTCAAAATGGCAGTAATGTCATAATAATATATGGAAATGTTGTAAATTTAAGTCCCAATAATTTTTGCCTCTTTCGTTTCCTTAAAATAAATTTTATATATTTGGTCTCCCTATCGCCTTCCCTATCCAAAAATACCCACTCCTCCAGGGGCCGCGTATCATATACTAAACTGCAGCCAAACAAAGTTTGCTCGAATAAAGTTTATTGATGTAATAATAATTATATCTATACAATATAATTCCTTTGTTACGTCGAAAATCTTAGTCTCTCGCCAAACATACATGTGGATTCGGAACATCGAAGAAAGACGAAAACACAGGAGAAAAAAAATATATGATTTAAAATGTCAAATACTCGCATAAAAAGAAACTATTAATAATAATTAATCCCCTTATATACAGTACACAAATCAACCCCGAATACGTAATTGTTATTTGCATTGTTATAATATTGCAAGACAAGTACGAATGACCTTACCTTATATTGAAAAAGTCCAAAGTATCTTTTGTTTATGTTTTGCTACTCTGATTGAGGGCATAAGCTAGGGCTGGCAATGTATGCAATAAAACTTTTATAATGTTTGACAAAGAAAATTAATTCTACTTATGTATTTAAAAGATTAATTATTTCAAATGTCTATATTGCAGCCTTTATATTTAAAGGTCATAATTGCAATCTTTCCACTGAAATGACCTATAAGATTTGAGTAAAATTCGACGAATTAGAGTATGACGAAGACTATCATGCAAGCAGCGCAAAAACGAGTTAATAAACGTTGGTAATAAAACCATATTTTGTTTTTATTTTCTAGGATGTATAATAATTTAGTTGAAAATTTCAACTTTTAAATTAGACACATAAATAAATGTTATAAGGTTATTATTACCTACTTTTCATATACAATAGACATCCTTATGTCAGTGCGCGTGCACTGAGTGCACTC